AGATGACCGGCCCGACCAATGAACTTACGTTATCGCAGCGAAGCCAGATTTCATTCATTCCCTCCGCTACCGGAATGAGCAGTTTGATGTTAAACTTCTGACCAGAGATGTTCACGTCGGGGGTAACTTCACATCCTGCAATGAGGGAGCCAACAAAAACAAAAAAAAAAAAAAGGGAAAGAAAAAGCAAAGCACTTTAACTAAAGGGTGTCCAACAGCATCTCAGTGCTACGAAGGTCTCACACCGCATCTCCGATGGGACAAACGCTACACAGCAAGGACAAAACCCATGTCAGATGCCTCTTTTTCCAAGTGTCAGGAAAATAGGGGGAAATAAAGCAAGACCTGGTCCGGAAGCAAAGCAGCCAAAGCTAATGCACGCCCAGAGGATTCATCTCACCGGTCCTGCCTGGCCTCACGAGTGGACCTGATGGCTGGCAAATACCATGAAATTTTCATGAAAGGGGAGGAAAAGGTGGCCAGATGGGTGCTGACTCTCACCCTGAAACCTCTACACATTATTTTGGCCGGGCGCATCGCTGCTATAGTCAGTGGTGGGGTGCGAGCATCCCGCTTTCGGTGTCCGGAGAGAACGACAAGCGGTTGTATAAACACCAGGGGGTGATGAATTGAAGCAGCCAAGCCAGCCCGGGCGTCGCTTCAACGCCGCCTCCAAGATTTTTTAAAAGTGCCGTCACAGCAGATATGTCAAAAGCTCCCAAAAAGGTCCTGCGGGCCGGGCTTCGCTCCGACTGCAGCCCGAGGTCGCTTGGCATCACATCTGCTCCTGCCTCAATGGGGAAAAAAAAAAAAAAAAAAAGAGCTCTCTGCAGTTTGGTGGCTGCCGGGGCAGGAATGTTTAACTTGACATAAGAAAAGCCAGCAACCGTAGGAATTTAAAACCTCCTGGTTTTAAAGCAAGGCTCACAGGGAGCGCTTGAGCGAGGCTGCTCACAACCGCCACCAGGGAGAGGAGGAAAAAACTTTAAAGGCAGCAGAGGAAGAGAATAGTCTGTTCTCTCCAGCGCAGCGTGTGCTCAAACTTCATGCTCCGCCGTGGGAGCCAGTTGGATTCTTTCGGATAGCCGCGACAAAAAGGAGAACGGCAAGTTGTTTCCCCATGGTATCGGGGAGCTGGCGTTGCTTCCCCTTGGGGTCACGTGTACCACGTACTCACTTTCTAGAAGTCTAAATATATGCCATGCATATCAAACCCAGTCACCCTCAGTCCTTAAAACGTATTTACCCAACCCTGGGATAGCATGCCAAGAAGATAAATCACTGGGAAAACAAGATGCGAGAGGAGCAGCCTATTACTGGAATAAAATGGAACGGCGCTCACGCTTCTCTTACCTCTCAGGTTCATCTGGTGTGCGGGAGTCCCGTTGGATTCCTCTTTGCTTTTATAGCAGGAGATAGAGGTATCTTTGAAGGTGCACCAATACGGCTTGTAGCCTTTCAACGTCAGCTTCTTGGGCCTGCCAGACAGGTTGAGGGAGATTACATTTAGTTTAAGCTCCTAAACCAAGTTGCTGGACCGGGAAACTCATTTCACCCTTGAAAACCTGGTGTCAGCAGCCTTGGGGTATGCTCAGCCCCGGGACAGTCCTGCCTTGGAGCTCAGCCACCGCTCACCACCCCTTCGCTACAATTTTGGGTCAAGAAGTTGAGCTACAATTGCGAATTTGGACTCTTAAGGCCCATGGAGGTCCCACTAATTTGGGGTAAGGTGGGGGGAAGCTTGAGAACTGTATCACAAAACCAGACGTGTCCAGGAGCCGCTGCAAGATCTGCCTCTTCACCTGCCACGTTAACCTGGAACCACTTTGCTCAAGCTCTGAAAGGAAGCGGTACTTCTAAAAGACTTGTCCGTCAGGCAGATGCGTGAGTTCACTTGTTTTCTTTTCAAATACTCCACTTTTAGCATCAGAAAAGGTTCAGTTCCTTCCTATGGAAAACATGGATTTTGCCCAACTCCGCAGAAGCAGCGATGGCTCTGCAAGCCCGCAGCAAACACGGTGGTACCCTGACCCTGCTCATCCCACCACGAGCCCAGGACCTTCACAGAGCTCCAAGTTTCTGATTTTTCTTAACCCCTCCTGATTTCTTCAAAGGCTGTACCTGCAGCCTCTCGCTGCAATGCGTTTCTCCCGTCTCCATCCCAGAATTAGCTGCTCAACCCTCATCTGTAGGGATCAAATCTGCCACGGCCCCAACCGCTTGTCCGCGAGGCTCTGCGCTTTCATTTCCAAGCAAAAGCGTGTTGGGGGCTGCTCGGGGAAATTCGGGAGGTGGTGGAGAAACACGGCGTCTGCCTGAACCCCGCTGCTCCCACACCTCTGATGGACATCTGAGCTCCGGGCATCTGCTGCCTCCTCCTGCCTTTCCTGGTTTTTCCTCTTCCCAAAGCCTTGGCGCGCACAGCCCTGCCCCGTGCAAGCTTTACAGCCGCAATTTCCTTTGAAAGCTGCCTCCCGCAACAGAACAGGTCACCAGCCTCCAGCCAAGCCATCCTACACGCGCAGGTTTTTCCATCCTTTGCTTCGCATCCTTCTCTAAAGATGTTTTAATACAGGTTTTTTTTTTTTACTGTCTTGAGCTTTTTTTTGGGGACTCCTTTAAATTGCAGGCAGGGCATTTTGGCTGGCACGGGCAGTAACCCGGCTGGCAGGGGCAAGAGAAACATCCCACGTATCTGCAGCAACACCAGGTACGTATAGGGATGTATATATAGGACTTATATATAAGGCGTACTAGGGACATATATTGCAGCTCCTCCCCGATGACAAGAGGCATGTCCAAAGCTGGGCCAGCTCCTAACGTCACATCATTTATGTTGGGTTTCTGGCAGTAAAATACCTCCTGGTCCTCATTTTTAGGAGCAAACGGCAATTCTGTACCTCCCCGCCGCGGCAGGACAGCCCCAAATCCCAACTCAGGGTTCGGGGCTGCACCCGGCGAGGGGAGGGAACCGGCAGCTTCTCGCTGCTCCATCTCCTGCCCCACCAACTGCCGCTCCAGTTTGCAAACGAACAGCTCCCCGAATCGTGCCTAATTTTATTGGCAAATAAGCACATCAAAGGAAAGAGCAGGTTTTGTTTGTTTGTTTGTTTAAGGGGGAACACCACCCCCCCCCAAGATGCAGGGCACAGGCTACAGCCCTGAAACTCTGCCCCAGTTAAGACAGATCGCAAGCCCAGACGGCCACGGAGACCTTATTAATTCACCTTTGGAGGGGGAGAAAGAGTTTTTCAGAACAGAAATGGCAGGTTCAGGCTCCAGAACCGAACAATTAATAAAATAAAGGCTTGTTCCAGAGCTATTTTGCTGCCTATAGCTTTTCTTCTATATCCTATAGCTATGCCGTGAAATCTCATCATTATTTCCAGAGCTTTCACTGTGTCCTTCGCCGCAGCAGGCAATAATAATTTGCAAAAAGACAGCTGCGGCTGCCAAAATGTTACTCAAAGTCCAGACGCTGCCGTTCCCGGTTTCCACGTACCACCGTCCAAGTCGAAGCAAAATAAAAAAATTAAAAAAACCCTCCTAAATCACAGTCAGCTTAACCTGCTCCTTTTGGTGAGGGGAGGGCAGACAGAACGGGATCCCGGCCGTTTAGAATTCATCCAGTCTCTTGCAAACCAAGAGAAGTCTCTGAGCAAGGTTTCTAGGTTTCGCTCCTAATTTTAGGATGGCTTGATTATTTCACGGGCATTAATTGTGTTACAGAGATATCTCGCTGCTGGCTACGGGATGCAGCAAGCTCTCCCGCAGGGATGCATACCTGCCGGGGCGGTGGGAGTGGGAAAACACCCTGGGGGTTTATATTTAACAACTGATCAACTTCAGTATCAAATATATCGAATACTTCAAATAGCGTGTGAAATACTTAGCGACTGTGCTACAGGATCAAGTAGTAAAATGTTTTAATAGCAAGAGAGCGCAGATGCTCTGCGCTGCGGTATTACACAGCGATTGCGCGGTGGCTTTTCGCACGAGATAACGTAGTGGTGCGCAGCAAGAGCTTAAGGCCAGGAGATAAAGAAGAGAAGGATATTAGGCGGCAGGACCATTAATTATTCATAGGCATTACCAGTTTCACAAGTGCCTCTTCCCATCAGCACTTACTTGAAGACTTTAATGTAGTCGGCGAGCTCCGGGATGGAAGTGATGTCACCCTGAAAAGAAGAGATTACCTCATTCACCCGCCTGCCCGAGCGGAGCCGGGGTGGTGGGTCGGGAGGGGAGGGATGCTGCGCAGCGGAGGAAGCTGGGAGCGGCTTCACCAGCCAACATTGGGGCTCGGGACTCCTCAGAAAGCCCCATCCGCTTCACGGGAGAAGCAAGTGGAGAAAAATCTGTGGCACAGAAGTGCTGTTTGGAAACCAGAGGACAAGGTTTTCTTTCCCTTGGAGAATTCCCTGCTGCCGCTGGAGCCAGTTCCCACCCGTCAGGTCACCGGCGGTCACACCGGCTCGTGTTCGCACAGGGATTTTTCTCCTCCCTTAGTTTTTCCTTACGCTCCTGACATAAGGAAAAGATGCTGCTCTGCATCTCCACGGAGAACTGGGGAAGGGCTTTCTGACAGCCCAAAAGGCTTTCCCCCTCCCCCCCAGCTTTTTGAAAACTGAGTTTATCTTCACACGTTGGATGAGCAAAATATACTGGGTGGCACTTTCAATTCCCACGAGCTCGAACTAAAGGGTTTTCAAAGGACAGAAAAAGCAAAGACAGCTTCCAGTAGCAAGATAGTTTACTTTCCGTCTGCAGTGAGCAACGCTGTTTATAGATACCACGGGGGGAAAAAAATGCAGAATCTAAACAAACAATCCAGTAATTGCCCATTATCCGTATTCAATTACTCGAATGCATCTGGAAATGGCTACTGCTAGCAACCCCTACGGAAAGGGATGGAGTTTTTTTGATGAATCATTTTTGTCTTCACTCCTCTCTGTCAGGGACCGTTCCTTAGTACTGTGCTTCAAACCTGGTTTTGCAAAGAAATCAGAAAAGATCTCTCGGCGAGGAAAATTTGTCATTATTTCCGTCGCACCGAAGCGGCGCTGCTCTCCCTGCGGCGACTGGTTAATATTGTAAAACCTCTGCCGTTATTAACGCTAGCAAAGCAGGCTAAGTATGGATGTTAACTTCAAAAAGACACTTCGTAAACACTTAAAAAAAATTTTATAAAGAGTGAGACTGGAAAATTTCAGGGCTTTTAGGGTTTGAAAGAACTTAAAATGAAACTCAGAGATGATATAAATGTGCAAAACGCCTGGAAAAGCTGTGCCGTGCCAAGTCTGACCAGACCTACTCCCTTTTCTGCCCGTTTAGTTTTTGGGCTTTACATTTTTAAAGGTGGAAAACCAGTGTTAAAACAGCGTACCAGAGGAAAAAAAAAAAAAAAAAAGAAATCTTCTGAAATACAGTCATAGCTCAGTCCAGACTAAAGCCCAGCCTAATAAAAATAGGATTTCATACGTGTAAGTTATTTCTGAAAATCACGGCAGCCGTTTTAGATACTGTCAAACTTTGCCATGAATTAGAAACGGTGGAAGAGAAACCTCAGCGTGAAGAATTCAGTATTTTTGGAAAGTCGGTAGCGAGAACAGAAACTAAATTAATTTTATCCGAGTTTTCCATGATTTCATCAGGAAGGTGGCTTGGTGCGGGGGGGTCTTACAGTCCCAGCAGGAAAAATTCATTATTGCACTTGACTCTGCAGCAGAGTTGGGCACGTGGGACAGGCTGAGCTCTCCCTGCTAAATTCACTGTAAAAACCCAAACTAAAATCAAACCTTTAAAAATAAAAGATGGTCTTAGGGCTACAACCCCTTGGTATTTAAAAACCCATTATTTTTCAGAAAATATTACTGGGCTCTGGGTTCTGCATTTCTCCACTGGGCTGTGTGCAACTTTCTCATGCTGTAAGACAGGAAATAAAGGGAGAGGAAGGAAATAAAAAAGGCTGGATGCCTGGAAAAATTCCCACCTCAGGATGACTATTCCCGCCTCGTGCGAGGCAACGGGGACGCGCGAGATCCTTACCAGGATCGTCGACGTTTTGCCGCCCTCCAAAGTGATTTCCAGATCCGAGAGCGCAGCGTCCACCTCATCCACCTCCTTGTCGCTGTTGTTCAGGTGGTTTTCCGAGGACATGACGGACAGCTTATTGATGTGGTACTGAAAGGCAAGGCACAGCGTTTCACCGGGACGCTCCTGTGATCTGTCGGATGCCATGGGCTCATCGTGACACAGCCACCGTGCTTGGGAAGCGGGGTGGAAAACCGGAGCCGTACCCTCCGTGGGAGCAGAGGCTGGCAAGCGCCGAGACCTGAGCGCAGTTGAGTCACGAACGACCGGCTTGGCTGTTTTCAGTCCAAGGAGTCGGCGGTACAAACCCTGGAGGACCGCTCTGGACCCCGCAGGGCAGAGCTACTCTTTTCACACCATCGCAGCCTGGCTGAGGTTGGAAGGGACCTCTGAAGGTCGTCTGGTTCTACCCCTGCGCAAGTAGGGCCACCTACAACCGTTGTCCAGTTGGCTTTTGAGTATCTCCAACGATGGAGACTCTACAACCCCTCTGGGCAACCTGTGCCAGCCCTCGGTCACCCTCACAGTAAAAAAAGTGTTTCCTGATGTTCAGAGGGAACCTCATGTGCTTTAATCTGTGCCCATTGCCTCTGGTCCTGCCACTGGGCACCACTGAGAAGACCCTGGCTCCATCTCCTTCACCTCCATCAGGTACTGATATAAGATCCCCCTGAGCCTCCTCTTCTCCAGGCTGAACAGTCCCAGCTCCCTCAGCCTCTCCTCAAAGGAGAGATGCTCCAGGACCTTCACCATCCTCACAGCCCTTCACTGGACTCTCCCCACGATGTCTCTCTTGCACTGAGGAGCCCAGAACTGGACCCAGCGCTCCAGACGTGGGCTCAGCAGTGCTGAGCAGAGGGGAAGAAGGCTCACCTCCCTCGACCTGCGGGCAACGCTTTGCCCAATGCACCTTTTTTGCCCCAAGGGCACCTTGCTGGCTCATGTTGGACACGGTGTCCACCAGCACCCCCAGGGCCTTTCCTGCCGAGCCGCTTCCCAGCGGGGTGGCCCCCAGAATATACTGGTCCCTGGGGTTGTTCCTCCCCAGGGGCAGGACTTTGCACTTCCCCTTGCTGAACTTCATGAGGTTCACGTTGGCCCATTTCTCCAGCCTGCCGAGGTCCCTCTGGACGGCAGCACGACCCTGTGGCGTATCCGCCACACCTCCCAGTTCGGGAGGATGCATCGCATCTGTTTTTACCCCAGAAAACCACAACATCCATAAAAATCTCACACTAAGGACCATGCCCAACCCACTCTGGACTCCTTGGAGAAGTAAACTGAGTCTTTATGTTTCTGTTTTCACTCTTTTTTTCCTAGGAGGGGCCCTAGGAGCAGACAGCCCTGCTCTTCATGGGGATATTTCTGCACCCTACAGCGACGAGGCGCGCCAGACCACACGTAGTAAATGGCCTGCCATCCGTCTCGCACAAGTCAATAGCAGGTGTAGCATTTATGCCAAATCACGACGAGTATTTAATGAAACGGATAAATAAATAGTTCTGGGAAACCCACAGATTATCACCAGCTGTTTGGGGGGGCAGCGTGCCAGAAACGCACAGTTCAGTAACCTAGTGTACTTACTGGGGTTTGTTAAGAAGGGCAAAACTAAAAGTTAAGATAGACATAAACATGTTTGGTAAAAGAAGGCCAAATTCCTTTTCATGAGAAGTAATCAGCGGCAAATATTTAAATTACCTAATAAGCTCAAGTGAGGATTGGGAGACGGGAAACGATCCGACTTCTACCAGCACGAGAAGTCCAAGCTCCCACCAAAGACAAGGTGAGGCTTAAAACACCCGTTACAGCAGATTTCACTTAGGGTGTTAATCAATCATCATCAATAGAGAAGTCTGCAAAGCTACAAAATCAAGTTTAGCCAAAACCCGTAAGCGTCTCGGGCCGTCTCCTACCTGCAGCGCTGCAAACATCATCATTTCTTCCTCCGTGCACTCGATCTCCTCCAGCAGAATAGCCCATTTGGACTGCTCGTACAGCTGGTTGATCCTGATCGCGTCGTACTACGGCACAGCACAAAAACACGGACCGGTTGCAAAACGTACGAGCCCCGTTCAAGGGAACCCACTTCATCTTTCATTTGCGCGCCACACTTCAATCCCAGACTGAAAAGCCTCTGCCACTGAAACAGAGTGGCTCTAAGAAACCCTTAAGCATCTCCAGCAACACCTCAGCATTAGCGAACCGGTACGTGGGAGCACGCAAAGCCAGGTTTGATGCCTGCAAGACCAATTTCCAAAGCGGTGGAGGATTTACCCCCACAAAAGCAAGCTAGAGATAGAGGTATCCTTTGCTCAAAGCCTTTGCTTGCAAGATGCGAGTAAAACAAATCGCTCTGTACCTTTGGATTCAGGTCAAAAAAGCTGTAGTACTTGAACCGGAGCAGCAAAGCTTCGTTTTCTTTCACCTCCTGCTCCATAAGAGATCGGGAAGAATCCAGCCATCTGTAAATTGTCAAGATGGGATAACACACACAAAAAGCTCTGGTGAAGTCGTGATGACGCTTTCAAGAATGCAATTTAAAACCGCATATTGAAAAGAACAAAAAAAAAAAAAAAAAAGAAGAAGAAGAAGAAAAGAGCAGAAAAACAAATCCTTAACTCACCCTTGGTTGATTTTGGCTTTATCAAGCAGCGCCTGTGGCTTGTACATTTTTGCTAAGGACTCCGGGGAGGTGACGGGCTGGCTGACGGCCAGGATGCCCGGGTTGCCCTCCGACAACGCGCTGTCACCGAACCAGGCCGAAGTGGGTGACAGGGGACTGCCGTCGTGAGCGTCGTAGGTCGGCGTCATCGTTTTGCTATACAGTCCTGGGCTCGAATATATGTTTCCTACCAGTAAGAGGAATAAAAGCCGGGAGTTAGCTTAGGGCCAAGCCCTGCCTGCTCCCAACCAAGCCAACTCAGACACAAACCCAAAGCCAGCGGATGAAAAACCTTCCCTTTTTTTTTTTTTTTAACCATTTTTTTTTTTCCCCCCGCAATGGGAAAACACTGCGCTGCTTGTTTTCCCATGAAAAGCTGCCCCTCTCTCTCAGCTCTCCTCCGAGAGCAAAACTGATGGAAAACTCATTCCAGCCCAAATCCATGGGAAAAAGCACAGGTCTCCCACGCCGGGAAACTCCTGCCCCCTGCGTTTCGGCGGCACCTGGGACATGAACGGCCCCCGACTTACCGGTATTACCTGTCGCTTAAAGATTTTGGAAGTCAAAAGTTTTAGAGGAGCAGGAAAATAAACTAAGGGCGCAGCCAAAGAGACCAGAGGCAGAGCGCAAAAGTCCTACTGAGGTGGAGCTCACCTTTGACGGGGCCGATGTAAAGAATATCGGTGCCTATAGAGAGGGAAAGAAAGGAGGGAAATGAGAAGGCGAGAGAAAGTTACCCAGAGAGTAGGACAGGAGAGAAGCCAAAACCGGGCATTTTTCGGAAGAGAGCAGAATAGCACAGGTGAGGTTTAACCACCCAAACGGAGTGTTTGCAGCAACGCCGGTGGACTCGGCAGGCAAAGCAACCAAAGTGACTCCGCGGTTATTTTATCGACGTTACGAGTAACAGCCGGGCGCGGAAACGTGGTATTTCACGGACGGAAAAGCTTGCTGAGACGGCCAAACAAATTTGGTATTAATATGCCGAGCGAGTGGTGCGGTTTGGTGCAAAACTGATCCCGAAGCACATGTTCCTCCCAGGGCTTTCACAGCTTTACAGCTCGTACACACTCCAACATCCCCACCCTTTTAAAATTACAAATATGAAGAGAAGAAAGGGGACCCAGCTAGGTAGAGCTAAATAGTCCTTATTCATCTCACTGGAGCATTGATTTTTTTATGTTAAGAATATAAAATCCAGATTTTCAAAATAAGGGAGGTTCAACGACCGTATCCTAATGTCAGCAATTCCACTGCGTACGCACGTCGGGCAATGAGCTCAGCACCATTTATAACGGATTATAATCCATTATAATCCACCAGTACCTAGAAGGACCAATAAGTGGCACTGGCTTTTTGGGAAAGAGCTGTGTCCTTTTTCGATCACGAGCCTGTTCAGATGTGCAATTCGAGGCACCCAGACTCGCCCTCCGAGAACACCACTAAGGGCGTTGAAGGGGCGCGTGGCAGGGTTGAGATGCCAGAAGCAAGGTCTTCTGTGCCACCTCCTTCTGCTGCCCCAAACGATCCCTCCTCCCTGAACGCCCAAGAAATGACCGAAAGCTGAGCTAAACACCTGGAAAAGTCTAAGAGCAAAATAATAGAAAAACTTTTCCAAACTCTTTTATTTTTTTTTTTTTTTTAATTGAGATGGGTATCTCAAGGAGCAGTACGAATGGTTTGAATCAGCAGCATCATGCCAATGATGGCCAACATCTCGGCTAGGAAACTTAAATAACACAGCAACGTGATTCTAAACTGTCCGATGGGATGGAAAATATAAGTGAAAACTAGCAGTCACCACCTAACAAGAAAACTGCAGGATGCTTTTAGTGCTCCTGCTACTTTTGCTGGCACCCTGGTCTGGATTACTGTTTTGACAAAAAGCCCGGGGGGCCGGTAAGCGCCGTGGGAACCTGCCAGCGAGACAGACCCAGCAAACTGGGCGGGAGCAAACCAGCTGCAGAAGTGATGAAGGGATGGAGACATCCACCTTGGAGCTTCACGCTTCCAAGGAGAAGGCTGGGGATGACTTGCCAGGTACTTATATCAGGTACTTACACGTTGGGAGTTGGACTCGACGATCCCTATGGTCCCTTCCAACTTGAGATACTCTACGATTATAAAAGCAACAGAAACGCGCTCTCCCCACGGACTGCTGTTATGCTGGAGCAGAGCAGTCCAACAAGAACGGCGATAGACCACCATCACCATCCATAAACCACATCCTGAAAGATGCTCTTGCCCTCGCAGCGTGCCAGCCTCACCCTTCACATGGCTCAAGCAGACGGGGCTGAGCATAAACTGGACTAACAAAAGAAAATCCCACTTCTCGCCCCAAATCAGGCACGTTTTCCACGGACATCCGCCCACATTCCTCCGCTCGAGTGTCTGCCCCAGAGGAGCAAAGCTTCCCCTCGGATGTTCTCCTCATCACCTCCAAACATCTCAAACATCTCAGAAGAAGCTTCCCTTAAAAAATTTGCCCGAGGCAGGCAATGTCATGGAAAGTTCCAGGTGAAATAACTATAAGTTTGGCTAACTTATAAACAAGTGAACACAGGTCTTTTAATGGAAAGTGTTGGGCAACTTTTACTGTGGGTGTATTGACAGCTCTGCCTACCGTGATTTCAATGGTTTCACTGCCGGTACGGGGTGCTCAGTGACAAAACATGCCCATTACATCTACATGCCCTGAAATAAGCAGATCTCAAAATATTAACTCGTTTTACAGAAGTGTTCAGCACACAAACGAATGTTGGAACAACGCTAGCAACAGTTTATTCAGATTAAAACCATTACTTGTAACTAATGGCACCTAAACATGGCAGGTAGCTGCAGTAATTAAACCTCCAGCAAAAGTAATTTCATTCACAAGGAAAGCAAAACCAGCTAGACACTTCAAAGTGACTCGCTGAAAGACCAATAAATAATTAAAATAATAACCTATCTTTCGCATACATTTCCCCCAGAGCAGGCCAAGTATTTCCTATTAATCTAAGGGAGATGCTCTCCACGAACAGTGACTTTTGGAAAGGCTAATTACGGACTTTCAAGATGAAAATGCCAAATGAAAATTGACTGGAGCCTTGCCCAATGCAGGCAAAACTCCCTGAGCCCAGAGTGCGAGAGGATTAGCCCAGAAGTGTTTTTAAGTAACTGAGAGGAGAAAGAGCGAGACCGGAGCAAAAGGAGGATTATTTTTCCCTTGCACCAGACCCGTTTGCTGCAGAGCCCGTGGTGCACATCACTTTGGCACGGTAGCTCCAGGGCATCGTTGCCCGTGCCCTGCGCAGCCAAAACCTTTCTGCTTGCAAGCCCAGAGCCACCAGCGGCATTAACCGCACTGCCTGACCCTCCCCTGTACTTCAGTTAATTTAAGACCAACGAATACAAGTTTACTGAATTCCAAGATTTTTTTTTTTTCCCTTAACTAAAGCTGCCCTGCTTCCTTCTCCTCGCTGGATTTAAAACCAAGAGCTTTGGCAGCCAGACACGCCTCACCCTCCCGTCAGCGCGCATCTCTGTGGCTTTCTCCACAAGTCCATTTGGGCTAAAGTGCTCCCACTTGACCGACTTTATGGTTTAAGCTCCTGCCATTTGCCTTCAAACACCAGACCTCGGAGCTGAAAAACCTCTCCGCTTGCAAACACCTCCCTGCATCAATTTGCTGCCTGTGGCAAGAGGTGTTACTCCATCACTGACGTTACTCCATCAGCGACGTTACTCCATCAGTGATTCTCTTAGCAGCTCTGCTCAGGTTCTGTAAGCCAGACTGGCAAACTACCCCCTCCAGCAATAAAAGGGTTTCGTTTTTTAGCGTTATGAACTATAGCTACGACCTTAACATAAGGAAACACTCATGCAATTAATAAAATACTGGTTTTGCTGGGCTAATAAGGAAGGAGTAGAACGGTCGTACTGCCTAAACACACCTGGAATTTGACATTAGGAACGATTTTCCATTTAATTCCTTTCTTAGTAGGGTAAGAAAACCTTTCAGTAACGCAATCTGAGTGTTAAAGTGGTCACACTTGGTTTCTGTTTTATTTTATAAAGCCTGGCGTTGTTCTGCTCCCCTATATGCGTGACAGCTTCGGGCATGCATCTGTGCGACCGCGACCGAGTGCTGCAGCCTTGGCTGATTTGTGGCATTTATCTGGGGTCCGTTTCTTGCACAGACCTTACGGAATTAGGTGAGACCGATACCGCTATATCATTTTTCTCCCCAATTAATTATCTGTTTGCCTCCTGCCGACCCCGTCCCTGCGAGCCCATCATCACAAAGCAAGCCCCAGCTCACCGGACCCCGGCGTGATCAGCGGACCCTCCAGCTCGAAGGCGTCGTCTTCACATTGATCATCCAACTTCTTCTTTTTTTTCTTTGACGGATCTCTGGGTTTTCTCAAAAGGGACAGCTCCTCTGGATGCCTGATGTCTGGGGAGAAAATGGACCACTTTTACAAAGGTAGGATGGAAAAACAGGGGAAAAAAAAGAATATCCTTCCTTTAGGAACAACATCCAGCAATGTGCAGTATCTCCTTCGGCTGAATTTCCTGCTTTGCAATGGTTAAAAATCAAGTTGAGAACATTTTCCCCTGCAAGTCTATCAGGAACAAACACCGTCCTTGGCTGGAGAGGTAACATAGCATTTGGGTAAAATACAGAATTTCCCAGGCACAGTCACTCAAATGCAAATACCAACACTGCTAGTCCCACAACAGAGCCTAGTACCATCCCCACCCATTATCTTAAATATAATATAAAAATATAAATATCAAATAA